TGTAGCTTCTGGCGCGCCGTGCGCGACAGCTGCCCGCAGGTCTGCCGGCGTGGAGGGCGACCCGAGAGCGTAGGTTCGCCCACGCTCTGGTTCGAACTCCGCAGGCCTGAGGAGCAACCGCGTCTGTCGAGTGGCCTGGAGCCGTGGGTCTGGTTGCTTCTCAAGTGCGGCGCACAGCAATGCTGTGTACCAGCCCGCTTGTCTGCGCAGCGTGGCCTCTGCTAGCTGCCGCACGGGCTGAATCGTTCCGACTGCTGGGATCGGTCATCCGCTTGCCTCGGCTGAGGCGGCTGGTTGCTCTCAGCACTCGGACGAATCTGCGAGTGCGCGCCGAGGTGCACGTGACCGAGCGCTGCCACCGCAGGGCCAAAGGTAAACGCATCAGTCCGAGGGGCAGTACGAGCTAGGAGCTCCTGTCCCGATCAGGCACGGGGATCATCATCATCAACATCATCATCATCATCATCATCATCATCATCATCATCATCATCATCAATCATCATCATCATCATCATCATCATCATCATCATCGTCATCGTCATCGTCATCGTCATCATCATCATCATCATCATCATCATCATCATCATCATCATCATCATCATCATCATCATCATAATCCTCATCATCAGCATTATCACATTATCATATTCACAAATTATTTCCATCATCATCACCATCATCACCATCATAATCAAAATCACCAGCCGCATCAGCATCATCATCATCATCAGCAGCATCAGCATCATCATCATCATCATCATCATCATCATCAGCATCATCATCACCATCTTCATCATCATCCTAATATCTTCCCTCATCCTACCCTTGTTATTATCATCACTGTTGATATTCATCCTCCTCCTTTTCCCATCCTCCTCCTTTTCCTCCTCCTCAACCTCCTCCTCCTCTTCGTCCTCGTCCATATCCTCCTCCTCCTCCTCAATACACCCTGCCTGTCGCCATCATCGTCAGCATCATCATCGCCCTCATTATCCTCATCACCATCATCATCATCAGAATCATCAACATCACCAACATGATAATCATCACGAACATCAGCATGCTCATCATCGAACTCCTTACCATCAGAATCATCAATATCAGCATCAGCATCAGCATCATCCACATCAGCATTGACATCATCACCAAAACCACTAACACCATGATCACGATCACCATCACCATGACCATCAGCATCAGTATCAGCATTATCGTCATAATCATCATCCTCATCATCACCATCACCATCATCCTCATCAGCACCATCACCATCATCATCATCATCATCAGCAGCATCATCATCATTCCCTACCTAGGCTCTGCATAGAAGGGCTCTTACTCTCTTGGCTTAAAAGGCCGGGCAGTGGGAACCGGCCCGGGCGGTTCCCCCAGTATCCGCCCCGCGGTTCCCCCAGTTACGTCCCCTTAGCTTAGCGTTGCTTATCTCGTCTTAGCTTAGCTTACTTCATCTTAGCTTAGCTTAGCTCAATCTTAGCTCAGGTTTATCTTAGCTTAGCTTACCTTCATCTTAGCATTCGATGAGCTTTAGCATAGCAGAGCACAGCATAGCATAGCATAGCGTAGCATAGCATAGCGCAGCATAGCATATCATAGCATAGCCCAGCATAGCATAGCATAGCGCAGCATAGCATAGCATAGCATAGCGCAGCACAGCACAGCACAGCATAGCACAGCGCAGCATAACATAGCATAGCATAGCATAGCATAGTATAGCCTAGCATAGCGCAGCTTAGCATAGCATATCATAGCATAGCATAGCATAGCACAGCGCAGCATGACATAGCATAGCTTAGCATAGCATAGCATTAGCATAGCATAGCATAGCATAGCGCAGCATAGCATAGCATAGCATAGCGCAGCATAGCACGGCATGGCATAGCATAGCATAGCATAGCATAGCAACTAATGCTGCTTTCCTAGGGGGTCCAACTTCTAGGTAGGGTCGCACTGGGGTAATTATTACAATCAGCATCAGATCATCACGACCATCACGATCACAATCACCATCACCATTACAATCATCATCAGCACCATCATCATCAGGGTGCCGAGACGCGCCCAGAGTCCAGCAAGGCATGAGAATACAAACCCGACTTGTCTGGCTGATGCTGTGGGGGGGGCCTGTACTCAGGGGAGGCTGCAGCACCGCTCAACAAAGTGCTGTTTAACCGAACCTGCAGGGTGGGCCATTCCCCAAATCCGTGCTTCGGTGCGGATCGTCTGCGCGCCACGTCTCCGAAGTCGTCGTCGTTGTCGCCGGCGTCGTCATGGTCGTGGTGCGCGTTGCTCTGCTCGGGACTTGTTTCCCTCAAGCCGTGACCACCACCACCACCACCACCACCACCACCACCACCACCACCATCATCATCATCATCATCATCATCATCATCTCATCCTCATCATAAGCGGCATCAGCACCATAATCATCAGCACCATCAGCATCATCACCATCATCATCATCGTCATCATCAGCATTATCGCCATAATCATCATCACCATCATAACCGTCATCCTCAGCAGTTGCATGACCATCATCATCAGCATCATCAGCAGCATCAGCATTGGCATGAGCATCACCACCACCATCATCAGCAGCATCAGCAACACCATCACCATCACCATCATCATCATCAGCACCATCATCATCATCATCATCATCATCATCATCAGCATCATCATTGGTATTACAATCACCATCGGACCATTGGATCCTCACCACCATCACCATCAACATCACCATCACAATCGTCATCAGCACCATCATCATCAGCACCATCATCATCAGGGTGCCGAGACGCGCCCAGAGTCCAGCAAGGCATGAGGGTGCAAACCCGACTTGTCTGGCTGATGCTGTGGGGGGGCCTGTGCGCAGGGGAGGTTGCAGCACAGCTCAACAAAGTGCTGTTTAACCGAACCTGCAGGGTGGGCCCTTCCCCAAATCCGTGCTTCGGTGCGGATCGTCTGCACGCCTCGTCTCCGACGTCGTCGTCGTTGTCGTCGTCGTGGTCGTGGTCGTGGTGCGTGTTGCTCTGCTCGGGACTTGTTCCCCTTCTGCAGTGACCACCACCACCACCACCACCACCACCACCATCATCATCATCATCATCATCATCATCATCATCATCATCATCATCATCGTCATCATCAGCATCATCCTCATAATCATCATCACCATCAGCATCATCAGCAGCAGCATCAGCATTAACATCATCATCATCCTCATCATCCTCCTCATCATCACCTTCATCACCATCATCATCATGATCCGTATCATCATCATCATCATCATCATCATCATCATCATCATCATCATCATCATCATCAGTATCACCATCATCATCACCACCATCAACATCATCATCAGCAGCATCATCATCATCACCGTCATCGTCATCGCAATCGTTATCATCGTTATCGCAATCACCATTATAATCATCATCATCGAAGTCATCATCATCAGCATCATCGTTATCATCATCTATCACCCATCATATTCAATTTATCATCTTCATCTTAAAACATGAAGGTGCTGACAATAATAAGTATGGTAGTAACTAGCATCATCACGATCTTCATCACCATCAATCATCATCAGCACCATAGTCATGAATATTATAATAAGCATTATCGTCATCACCAGCAGCATCCTCACCATCATAAACATCATCAGCACCATCATCAGCATCATCAGCATCGCCATCATCATCAGCATCACAATCACCACAACCATCACAACCACACCCATCATCGTTATCATCATCAGCATCATCGACAGCATCATCATCCTCATCACCATTACCATCACCATCATCATCATCACCATGTTCATCATCAGCATCAGCATCGTCATCACCACCATCATCATCACCATCATAATCATCATCACCTTCATCATCATCGCCGTCCGCATCATGATCATCATCAACATCATCATCATTACCATCATCATCATCATCATCATCATCATCATCATCATCATCATCATCATGATCGTCAACATCACTATCATCATCATCATCATCATCATCATCATCATCATCACCATCACCATCATCATCATCGTCATCATCATCGTCATCATCATCATCATCATCATCATCATCATCATCATCATCATCGTCATCATCATCATCATCATCATCATCATCATCATCATCATCATCATCATCATCATCATCATCATCATCATCATCATCATGGTCATCACTATCATCAACCCAGCATCGTCGTCATCATCACCATCATCATCAGCAGTATCATCACCATGATATCAATCCCCCTGGCCCGCCGCAAACATTCTCCTCCTCGTACCCTTTCGCCTCCAAATGATCCTAATCATTCCTACTCTCACGGTGAGCATCACATTCGCCACCTCCATTATCCTCATCGATTCCACTAGGTTCCACCGAGAATGCTGGGCTGGCAAACTGGCGGGACTTGCTGCAGACATATGGATATGGATTCGGGGCGAAATCCTGAGCGAAAGATCGCCACAAAGGAAAGGAAGGGTTTCTGAAGAGGCAGGGGGCGTCCGGAAGCCTTCTTAGAAGCCCCCGCCTTCCAAACCACCCGACGACATGATTTGTTCCATCCGCGGACCCAAATGACCAGACGCATTTCTGGGGGCAAGCTCACACCCTGGATCCGTGTCTGATGGCCCGAATACCCGATGACGGGTCGCGGAGGCCCGAAATGAAGGAAAAACCGTCAGATAATGAAAAGCATAGCATGCCGTCGGAAGTCTGGATTGGGAGGCCGCCCCCCTCGTGCCACCCCCTTGCACAAGCAGCGCCAAGCGGGGCCATTACTCTAGGGGGCCCCCTCTGGACCTCCTCCGGGAAACGGACCCCCCCAGAACGCCCAAAAACATCCAAAAGAACCCAGGGTCCTCGATCGTGCCTCCTTGTCCACGACCCTCGACTTCCAAAGGGGGGTGGTGACCCCAAGCCCCGCCCTTGGCACTGCCCGGTTGCGCGCGCCGCCGACGAGGCCTCCAGGGCCCCCTCCCACGACGAGCCGGGCGCCGCCAGAGGCGCCCCCCCCAGCCGAGGCGCAAGGCGGCCCAACCCCCCAGGCATTAGCGGGGGGCGGGGGGGGGAGGAGAGGACGGGAGGGAGGAAGGAGGGAAGGAGGGAGGGAGGGAAGGAGGGAGGAGGAGCGAACGTACCCTGACGGGGACGTCTGGTCGCGCCTAGCCACGAGGCGGCGCCGCCGAGCGTCCCACCCCTCCGCTCAGGTCGGAAGGCACGCGGAGGGCGTGACGGGCGGCCTTCGTGGCATCGTAGAACTGCTTCGGCTCGTACTTGAGATTGTCCTTCATGATGTGGTATACCTTCGTTGCGACTGCCAGTCGCATTGCAGTCATCCTTATGCCGTTGTCGCCGTCGTAGTCGACATGCGGAGGTGGGAGGCCGAGCCTGGTCACGATGTCGGCGTTGAGGCTTCGGCGAAGGAACGCCTGATGATGAATTAGGCGAGGGCACTGGAGGTAGTGGCTGATCGCGTCGGGCATGCTGCAGCCGAGGATGCACTGGCGGGTCTGGGGGGTGACGTGCATGCGGTCGGTGGTCGCCCAGGCGCCCGCCAGCGCCTTGAGTACTGCCCAGACACGAGCGGGTGGATGGGTCGCCAAGTATTTGCGATGACGAAGCCATTGTTCTCGAAGGTCATCTGGGACGACGGAGAGCTGGACCACGTCGGGCGAGTTCTCAGCCTCCTCGGCGTCGGGGTCGCGGTCCCCGTCGTCGTCTGGACCTCCAGGATCCTCTTCCGCAGGAAAGAGGGCACGATGGCTGCGCGCCCAGCGACGACGCGCACGGTGCTCGGCAGATGCGAGGCGGCGAAGGGCAGCCTGACGGCGAAGACGGGCGGGGTCACTACCCATGTCGCCAAGGATGACAAGCTCCAATCTGCCGCGCGCCATGCGTGTGGTGCGCCATGCGTTGATGCATATCTCCCTGGCGATGATGCGGCGCATGTGGCGCGTGCGGTAGAGGGGCTGGAACATGCCGAAGCCAAGAACATAGCGCACGTACTCCTCGCACCAGTTGATCCAGTCGCCCTCGTTAGAGATGTCGCGACTGCCCAGAAGAATGTCGGGCAGCCGCGATCCGGCCCAGCGGGCGGCGCGGTTCACGAGGCGCCCCTTCACAAGATGCGCGCGCTGTACTTCTGGATCCTCTTCGCGGACAGGAACAGGTGGGCGAATGAACCAGGCGGAGATGCGCTTCTTGATGGTGACGTGGAATGTGTCTGGATGGAGTCGCTCTTGAAGTGCCAGCAGGTACGCCTTTTGTGGGGGGCACCTTGAGACAGCTTCATTCTGGCCATTGGCGAGCAGAGCATCGGAGCCACAGCGTGCTGCGCGACGATGGGCAGCCCCGAGGGCACCGACGGCGCGCGAGACGGCGCCGAGGGCGCGGACCACGCGCTTGCAGTGCGAGCCCGCAGATTTGAAAAATAACGCGGCGTTGGAGATGTCCGCGAAGCGCTGCACGATGGAAGTCGGGATGGCCCAGCAGTCAGCGCACCAGCGCCCGCTCTCAACGGTGACGATGCTGAGGCGGTCGTAGGCTGCGTCGCGCAGGGCACTGCACCAGACGCCCCAACCTTTGACGGTCTTGACTGCGGTTCTCCAGAGCGTGGCTGATAGGAGCAGCTCGATATCATTCGGAGTCTGGATGCGGGTCCAGGATGACATGCCAAATAAGTCAGACTTGGAGAAGCTGTCAGGGGCGACACGGCAAAGCGCGTGAATGCCCAGGTGCTCCTTCGCGAGGAGGTGGTTAGGGGGGTCGCACAGCTGCCCGACGCATGAGAGGATTGTGATGGCAGCGAGGTTGCACTGCCTGGTGCTCAGCTGGAGCGGCGCGTGCGATCCAGACAGCTCGAGGACGCGGCCCCACCACTTGGCTGCGGGAGCACCCTACTTGCCAGCCAGAAAAGCTCCAGGACCGACATAATATCCGAGGTAACGCGCTTTCTCCGCAATCGAGAAGTTGCGCCACGGGCGGTGGCTGTTGCCGAGGACAATCTGAATGCTGGCGATCAGCTCCGGGGTCGGGGGCGTCCAGGTCGGCACAATGATGCACTTCTTGGCGCGTAGTCGGAGTCCTGCGAGTTGATCTGCGGCAAGTTGATGAGGAAGAAGGTGTTGTATGTCTCTAAGCCCATGGAGAATTATGCCCAGGTCGTCGGCGCACGCGCTGGCCAGCCCGCGCCTGATGGCGCCCAGCTCGTTGGCAATAGCTCGAATCACTGGGTCGAAGATGAGCGCCCAAATGGCGCCGCTGAGCGGGCAGCCCTGTGCAACGCCCGATTCTGCGCAAAGCAGCGGGCGCTTGACACCGCCAAGCACCAGGAAGGAAAGCAGGTTGGAGTAGAAGGTTTGGAATAGCCGCCACATGTCGCCGCTGACACCCCAGTCGAAAAGAACGGCCCACATCCATTGACGGTTGAGCGATGTGAAGGCTGCGGTGATGTCCATGGAAGCGAAGATCGGCACGTGCTTGCCCGCGTCCTCGGACATGCTGAGCCTGCGCGCCCCGGCGTCGACAAGGGCAACGTTGCGCAGGAACTGGCGATCAGCGACGAACCCCTTCTGCTCGACGTGAAGTTGACCGCGGAGGCGGGGATCTTGACGTCACTGATTTGTCATGCTGAGTGGGCGCAGAGTGGCTGGGGTTCTCGCGCACTCGGCATTGCCCTGCGGCTCGTCACCCCTGGGAAGCATGGCCATCAATGCGCAGTTGAGATCGAGGGGAGCGCCGTGGTGGCCCATGCGGTTCGAAAGGTTGGCGAGTACTGCAAGTGCCCCAGGGGCACGGGTCCAGGCGCGATATGGGAGACCATCAGGTCCAGGGGCTGAGTCTCCAGCACGGCGCGCAGCTCGTAGGAGTTCTTCTTCACCAGGAAGTGGTAGCTCGAGTAGGGGGCGCTGCGGGAAGACATTGTCGAGGTAGTCGGTGATGGCAGTGTCAGATACCGTTTTGGCCGCGAAAACGGGCCCCCAGTGGTTGAGGATGGCGGGGTGCATCTTGCTGGGCTCGTAGACAGTCGACGTGGTGTTGCCAGTTCCGATATTGATTCCAACCAGGGTCAGGCGGCGCGAGAAATGTTTCCAGAAGTCGCCCTTGCGGGCTTCATGTCGTCGCCATCGGCCACCAAGGGCGATATTGCGTAGCTCATATACAGCACGAGACTTCTGCGCTGCTCTAGCGCGGCGTTCTTCACTGAGGCTGGCGCGGGTCTCGTTGGCCTCTTGGGTAAAGGCGGTGCGGTCGTTCAGAAAGATGTTGTCGCTGTCGGTCTTCAGGTGCTTGCGGCCAATGTCGGTGTTCTGGATGAGCTTCAGCGCCAGGGAGAAGTCTTGATGCCAGATTGCTCTTGCAATGCTGCGAAGGGTTCATGCCACGTATTTCCTTGCGGATGTCAGCCGCGTGGGCGCTGAGCTCGGCGGTTGGGACGGCGGCGAGGGCATTGCAGGTGCGGCGAGCGGCTTCGTGCATCAGCGACTTCTGGAAGCGCCACTGGTGGACTGCGGAGTACTGAGAGATGTCGTGATTCTCGGAAATGACCTTGTAGTGGTGCGCGCAGCGGGGCGAATGAAAGATGAAGGCTGGGACTGCTCACTCTTCAGGGGGTCGACTGCGGGTAGGGCGGATGCGTAGTTGCATGATATTGTGGTCGCTTGCCACGCCGTCTTCAGTCCCCAGCGGTGCGTCGTCGGCGGTCAACAAAACCTTGTGGCGAAGCAGCGGTCGATGGTGCTCTCGGAGAAGTTGGCGATGGCGCGGCGCGTGGATGAGAGGGCCCTAACCTCCAACACTTCCTGGAACAATTGCTTCACGAAGGTCGGCTGGCGCTGGTAGCGCGGGGCTACATTGACGTGCTAGTCGATCGGGGAGTTGATGCTCTTGGGGGCCTGGTCGGATATGTTGAAGTCACCCAGCATGATCAAGGTGCGCGCGCGAGGGTCTTCGGCAGCGCGTTGCACAAGCTGTCGCCGTTGTCTTCAAGTATCCTCCCTGTCGCTGGGCTTCAGGTCGCGATTGTGGATGTTGAGCACGGTGGCGTCAAATGAGCGGGCGGTGTCTGTGACTCTGAGCCATGCTGCTCGCCCTGGAACGACTTCGGCGAACAATCGCCGAGGGCGCTCTTCGGGTGGACGGCTTCGCTCGACCTGGTCGAGGGGACGAGGAAGACAACGCCGCCGGCCGTGGAGGAGTTCGGGATGCTTGAATGAAAGGCCATGTACTTGTGCTGCGGGGAGTGCGCTAAGATCTCCACGTCGATGGCGGAGCCGTGAGTCTCTTGGAGTGCGATCAGCGCACGCTGGCGTAGGAGCGGTTTGAAAAAGCGACGTTTAACTTGGCGGCGATGATCAGGTCTTCCATGCAATGCATGAGTGCTCCAGAATGCGATGTTCATGCCGTGGTCGTTGTGCTTGGATAGCCACGGCGTCCAGCGCGGGCTAAAGCCACTGCGCGGATGCCAGCGCGTCAGAGAAGGAGCACTCGAAGGCGATGCGGATGTTGGTCTGCCGTTCGCAATTGATGTCCATGCGGACTGCGGCTGCTGCCCATCGCAGCTTAGAAGGTTCGTCGGGGGCGCCACCCACGATGAGCTGGACGATGACCTCGTTATTGTACGTGATGTACCCTTGGCTGCGTTGAAGGCGGAGAGCGCACTGGTCGAAGCGCTGGTTGATGAGGGCCCCCAGTCGCGCGAGTTGCACTTCACGTCGAACCGAGCGAGGACTTCTGTCGGCAGAGACACACAAGGGGACGGGGGGCGAGCTGCCGATGGACACGCTGAACTCACGCCAACTTCTACCAACATGTAACGCTTCATGAAGACGTCGCGCACGGGGTTCAGCAACAACCGTTCCTCCAGTGAGAGAAAAGCTGCGGCGTCGGACGAAACCTGGCGCTGAACGAGACCTGATCGAATGTGCCCTTGCGTCGGCGAGCCATGACGCCAGCGACTTCTCGAGGTCCTCAAT